ACACACACACACACCACACACACACACACACACCACCACACAAGACACACAACACACACAGCACACACATATATACATATACTATACATATATACATATATATATACATACTATACATACATATATAATAGATATATACTACATACATACATGCATACATACATATACATACATACATACATACATACATACATACCACCAACACATATATGTATGTATGCAGTATGTATATATATATATATATATATATAATATATATATATATATAAGTATATATATATAATTATATATATTACTATATATAGTATGTATATTATTTATATGTAATATATGTATAATATATATAATGTATATATGCTAATATATGTATATATGTATGTATAGTATATAGATATATATAGATATATGTTATATTAGTAGATTATATAGTAGAGTAATATAGAATTAGATAGATAGATAGATAGATAGATAGATAGATAGATAGATAGATAGATAGATAGATAGATAGATAGATAGATAGATAGATAGATAGATAGATAGATAGATAGATACATATATATATACATTAGATAGATTGATAGATATATATATATGAATATATATACATTTGATAGATAGATAGATGCTACACAAATAAATACATATATAAAAAGGTATAGACACAGATATAAAATACAATATATCCTTTAACATCTTTTAAGTTTTGTAAACCCTGTTAAAAAAAATAATGCTTACTGTACTTTCATGTACGACATAAGGCAATCAAAATACATAAATGCATTTACCTTTAAAACATAAGAATCTTGTCACTAGTTCAGGAAAACCATTTTGTAGAAAAATATCATATCAAAGAAAATACTAATAGGTTTTGTAATAACCACTGTGGGACATATGCAACTAGCAGTGAGAAAGACAAATAAATTACAAAACAGTTAAAATGATGAGCTGTCAGCAAATATACAATTAGAACACGAAGTTCAATTGTGCTCTTTTAATCTGATCAAAATCCTCTCACTTTAATAAAGAAAAAATGCAGTGCTTGTGCAGTTAAGTAATTTAACAAAATTTTGCCACTTTTATGCTGTTGCTTCAAACATTTCTTAAGATCTACTACAAAGTTAAAACAAATCTCAAGACTCCCCTCACAATGTTCTAGATATTTACGAAGATTAGCTACAAAATGTCAGCAAATATTTCACAAGACCCATTATGAATCTGCAAATATTTCATAAGACGAACTCCAAAATTTGCAAACATTTCAAAAGACCTATTACAAGAAATGGGCTTTCACACATGTCCACTACAAAGTCACAACTACCTATGTCCCTTTAAAGGTTAGCCTTCATAAGAGGTCGCAGGTATTTGCTGTACGCTTCTGGGACGTCAGTTTGATTCATGGGGCTCTTTTGGGCTTCGCTGAACATCCTGCAAGAGAAAGAATAGTTAAGAACTAATGCAATGCCTGATTACAGATACTGTACTGGTAGAGGAAGTATACTGTATATGGTTCCCTACAGAGCAATGTGCACTTCAGAGGTCATAGGTGACTGAAGTAACTTAAATATACATTAATATCAATACCATATTTCAAACTATAAACCTAATCAACCAGTCAAACATTGGAAAATGGTCATCAACAAAGTATTACCTTAAATCAATCACCACTGACCAATTGAAATAAGCATTTCATCTTATGATGACTAATCCCATTTCTAAACAAACTTTAAAATATATTTAGAGAAAGAGTTTGGATTATCATGGCAGGTCATTAAAATATTTCATGTTGTATAGCTGTACCTCTGAATAACATTTACATCTTTATGAAAAAAGAGAAATGTGTATATATTATGCACATACAAAGCTACCCCTTCATCTATAACAATTTAAAATTGAATTCAAGAAAATGATAGCTGAAAAAAAGGGGAAAGCAAAAAATCATACATACCTGTGATAGACGTTGCCATCCCAACATCCAAGAGTTGAGCCAAGGATACGATCATGGATATCAAATGAATCCACTAATGACACCGCATCATCTCTGAGAACTGCCAGAAGCTCACACATTTCTCCTTCCAGTGTACTGATATTCTCAGGTGACAGGGCTTGACTCTGAGTGTGGGGTGAGAGGAGATGCCAATATAAGGTTATGATATCTGAATAAAAGATTTTAAGTGAATCCTTAAATTGTGAGTTCTAGATGCTTGATTGTTAAAAAATCGAATAAAAACAGAGGGAAAAATAAAAATCATACATAAAATAAGTGGGCTGATACAAGTTTGAATGCCAAATACTGTGAGAACTTAAAGAATATCTTCTATATCTAGATAAAATAAAGAATATTTTCCTAAAAGGCTTAAAATGACAACAAAATTAATTATAATGTTTGATTTAAGATTTAAGATTTAGTTTTAATTCCATTTGTTACAATGGATATTCTTTGCTGGGACATACTGTCTATTTTATTTTGCCCAAATCTCCCCATGTGCAAGGAATGGCCAGGGTTACCATTCACAGGCTGGGCGTGGGATTTTAACGCAGATCAGCAAGATTGCTAGACCAGCACCTTACCGCTGCGCCAGCACATGATACAAATCAGAACTTTTCAACCATTTTTTGATCATCCTTAGTAATGATTTTATAAAAGCTGCCCACTCTACATAGTCATCCACTTATCATTAAAAAAAAATATATATATAACATCTAACCTTTTAGGTTCCAATTCTACAATTACTTAGGCAGACAATTATTTTTCTCTCATTTTGAATCTGTATATTCTTCAAACATACAATTCAGCCCAATTGTACAATAAAAGGGGCACAGGGCATAGAGTCCTTTGCACCTTAGTACTTCTGATGCCCATTCTGCCTAATTTATACACCAGCCCTTGGTCCGACAGTAAGTGAACAAGTGTCTTTAAGATCTTTACATTCTGACTAATGGTTGCTACCCTCTCCCTAGACCCCATAGCTGAATATGCCAAATGAGAGAACAGGAACTGAATGCATTAGATATCCCCTTTGATTTCAGTGAGAGGGAAAAGTGGTGCTGGGCATGTATTTTCCCCAGAAGACATTAATTGTGAACCCCATATTTATTGTTGAAAAGCTCACCACTGACTTCAGACAGCTCTCATCAAAACACAAAGGTAAACACATCCTACAAGACATGAGAGAGAAGTGTCATAGACTTCTCTTTCATTAACAGGCATACCCCATTCTTAAATTTTGGGCTATGCCCCTGCTAAACCTTTAATATAGTACTTTAGTTATTATTAATCAGGTATTGAGGACTGTTATCCTTAAAACTATCACATATCAACCAGCCAGCCAAGCAACTAAGCAACCTACCAATGACTACAACAAAAACAACAAAAATGAAAAAAATCTCCAATTTATACAAAGATTTGAAAAAAAGAGTAACTGATTACAGAAACAAAAGATTACAACTCCAAAAAAGAGCAATATATTTCGATCTAATTTGAAACAACAACAACATGACAGAATAACAAAGATGGTAAACTTCCTTCCTCACCCTAAGGAAGTCTCCTTGATTCAGACTGATGTGGTAGATGAGGTAGAGACGGCACAATCTGCGAAGAACATTCCGTACACCTTCACTCAGCTCCAGGCTCTCAACATTCTCAACAAACTGCTCGCATGTGAAGTACCTGGTATGGGCCTGAGGGTGAAAGAGAATTTTAAAATTTGATATATAACCAACTGCATTTTTGTATTACAGGCTTTTGATTTGCCTGCCCCAAAATGCAAGATATGACAGAGAAGTGTTTTCTTCTCAAACTTGTGATTTGCACATTTATACATGATTTTACTTTGCTATTCCTATTCTAGGTAGCTATAAAGAAACTGAATTGGTAATTCACAACTTATTTTTCACTTTCATTGCCATGAATTGTTGATAACTAAATAATAGCAATGAAAAAACTTAAAAGAGGCACATTGATTTATTGGCCTATTTCTACATACAGTTAGTAAAACAAATATATCAGTATCTCCCAAGAATAATGGAAAGTATATAAATTACCGTTGTTATAGCCATAATTTGCTCATAATCTATAAAATAATCATCCATCCAATGCAAAAAGATGTGGAGGAAGAAATAATATTTGAATAATTAAGAAATTGTGCAATTCATGTTTTTAAATTACATCAGACTTTACAATGCAACATCAACAAATAAATCATAAACCTTGCATTGTAGAATCATTCATTCTCATACACACTGTCCAGACACTTGTCACAATAATCTTAATTTGAAAAAAGGTAAATTAAGTAAAATCTTCCATGATGATGATAACATAAGACTGTATTGTTGATGACAAATGAAAGTCAAATAATCTTAATTTGAAAAAAGGTAAATTAAGTAAAAGAAAGTCTCAAAAATCTTCCATGATGACGATAACCTAACCAGTGTACTATTCATGTAAATAAAAAGCTCTGGATGGCCCTCGATTAGTGAATGACAGATTAACACTCTTCTATAATATAACTGACCTGAGCACATTTCACAAGTAGAACAGAACATTTGTTCCATGCAAGTTCAAATTGTTCTCCCTGATCGCAGTGCTTCTGGAGGCGCTCTGCTGTCTCGGAGACAATGGCCGAAACAGCTTTCTTGTATGCTTCAACCAGAGCTGAAAGTAAAAAAGTATATCATTTTTTTTTCTCTTTTTCTGCTATTCTTTCATGTATGATGTCAAATTCTAATTTGTAATTCAATTGAAAAAAATTATAAAAAAGACTGAATTACTCCACAGCACATGAGATGATGTTCATCAAGATTAATCATTATTATCATTACCATGAAATTCTGATGAAAATTTTATAAAAAATGTCAACTACATCACTTGCACTGTGGTCATTCATTTTCATTTATACCATTTTTCTGCATTTCTCACAGTGAAACCTGTTCATGTAATTTGAAATGAAGAATCTAAATGGTCAAATTCATGAGTAAACAGACAGTGACTGTACAGCAAATGCGATAAAAGCTGTCAGAAAATACAACCTTCATTTGAAAGGTTGGTAGACAAGTGTGTAGAAACAGGCTGAGCAGCCAAGTACGAAACGGAATGGCACAGCTTCTCTCCCTTTCGTGCTTCACGGTATGATTTAATGATGTATCTGGAATGCAAAGTTGTTATTGTTTAAATACTGAGTGAAGAGATTTCAGTAAAATGTACCAGAACGCCAGAGATTTTGTCTTCCTATAGAAGTGAGAAAATACGTAATAACAGATGATGCTAACTGTGAGAAATAAGGCATCACTTTCATTAATGAATCCAAAATGAACACAGAACAACAGCATAGCTTGGAACACATATGACCAACCTTGCAACCTGAAGCCACATAACTGTGTTCTCTCCCTCATAGGTGTTGGCAGCAGTAGTTGTAGTATAGATGCGAGGGAGGTTGGAAGATGATAGGTATCCATGTCCGCCACATGCAAGTCGGCATATTTCAATGCCTGCAGAAGCATCACTTGAGCTCAGAGCCTTCAATCCACAAGATATAGCATGCAACTGAAAGAGAAACAGAAATTGATAGTGGCTAAAAACAGGACAAAAAATATATGCACACTAACAGCTGTACACATATGAAATAAAACACAGCCAGAGATTTAAAGGAGCAATAAATTTGTGGTTTTGAAATGGATACTTGGACTTGATGGGGTCTGAATTTTCTGAGATGTAATATCATGCAACAGTCTAGATTTTGTGGCTAGGCCTGAGCTATGCACAGTTGGCCCACCCGTTGCAAATCATGACATGTATAAACATTATAGGCCATTATGTCATGACGACTATAGACGTGCTCGGAATTAAGAAGTTCAATTGCAGATGAATAAATTGCAAGAACAAGAACTGAATGAAACATTTCTTTTCTGATGAAGCATTTCTTTGCATTAGCATTCAAGATTGGTGATATAATATACATAAAATAGAAACTAGTACTCTGTTATGGACTTAAATTTGATGTTGAAATTTTTCACTAAAGGAAAAGAAAGAAAAAATCTACAATAATAAAAGCTAGAAATAAAAAACTAAAATCAGGCTAATTAGAATTTCACAGAATTAACATAATGTCAGACTCAAGTAAAATATGACAATATGTTGCGATAACATTACAAAAACATCCCTGCTCAAACAAACCTCTGGCAGAAGATCTAAGTTTCCCTCATGAATATTTCCTGTGACCTCATTATAGGTATCCCAAACACGTCTTGCCGAGAAGTGGATACCAAAGATGGTGGCTATTTGCGGCAATAGCTTGTACTGCTGGGTCTGGTAGTCGAGAATCTGAGGTTCTGGCTCTCTGTAAATTTCAGTTTGATATTACAATATGTATATACGTTTATATACACACACAGATATATAAAAATGTATATAAACACAAACACAAACACACACACACAGATATATATATATATATATATATATATATATATATATATATATATATATATATATATATATATATATATTATATATATATATATATATATATATATTATATATATATATATATATATATATATATATATATATATATATATATATATATATATATATATATATATATATATATATATATATATATATATATATATATATATATATATATATATATATGTATATATATATATATATATATATATATATATATATATATATATATATATATATATATATATATATATATATATATATATATATATATATATATATATATATATATATATATATATATATATATATATAT